AAAAAAAAAAAAAAAAAAAAAAAAAAAAAAGTAATAGGCAAAGCAAAACAGAAAGTCAAGTCTCTCCTTTCTTACCCTGTTTCCTCCACCATTCCTCTTTTAAAAGACAAATTAAGCCAAATAATGAGTTTTAAAGAGAGAAAACTACGTCTTTTTTGTTTTCTTTTTGCCACCAACAAAACAAAAGAACAAAGCAGAACGAATGCAATTATCAAAACTTTGTCGGTTTACCCAGACAAAGCATGTAAAAAGTCAAGCATCTTCAACCTTTTGGCCAAAATTCATAGTGTCCTTTTGATCGCTGCTGGTAATGATGGTGGGGTTAGCTGCATTGGTGCCAGCACTGGTGCCAATTATACAATTACTTTGATCAACAAATTCCATTGTAGTACCAACAATAACACTGAGATAGAATAATGAATCTAAATTTTCTTAATACCATTAAAAAATTAATCCGATCTTCTACAGAAAGTTCTCAACCAGATGTACCAATGTATATTGACAGTGACAAATTACTGATCATCTTTTCATTATCATCTGGCTTAAAACTATATTCCAAAAGCTTCTTATCCATTTAAATTGCACTCTACTTAAACATCAATCTGCAGCCAACCCGATATACTGGTAAACAAGAATTATTATAAAGTCATTTCAAAAGCCAATATACAAGTGTATGTATCAGCGAAAAAAAAGAAAACAGTTACATTTCAACAGACATACAGCCGATAGTTGATCTACTAAATTTCATCTTTAAATCGATTTGCAGTTATAAAGAAAAATCACTGAATTATGCAAAATAAGGGTGCTAAGGGTACGCCAAAGAAAATATTCGAATCCCCCACTGTAGTTGACTTGATTCCGGTCACGTTGGACAGCTAACGAACACCGAACAGTCATTGGGTCACAGTGTGTCGTTGTATTTGCTAATTTTAAGGAAGTATTTCAGAGTGTTTAGTGTCCGTTAAAAATACCGGTGCCTAATTAGTTTACAAATGAAAAATAAGCATCTATATTAAAAATATATAAATAAATAAACAAATAAATAGATACGTATAGATTCTGTTACCGCCGTAAGTTCTGTAAACCACTTACTGTTGTCAGTAAATCAATGAATTGATATGTTAATTACAATCCCACGTCTCCTACTAGATTTTTTTTGCATGA